TGTTCCATCAGATGAATGTCTATGTTTTACAACTATGTGACTGCTGCATTTTGGTGTGATGTGTTTGTGTGCTTTTTAGTTCTTGTTTTAATGAGGTTTATTGAGGACCAAGTCTAGGTGTCGCCAAAACTGGAAGTTGTCAGTCAGAAGCTGCAGTTCTGCTTCCCTTCCCTCTCCCACGATCTTCCCAGCTTTACTTCCCTCCCTTATCCCATCTCTGCTCAGGGAAGGAGCACACAAACCTGCATTGACATTAGTCTCTCTCTGCCTCTCTTTTTTCGTGTCCAAAATCGTCACCTATTTTGCATTGCTTACTTCAAGATTTTCTGTGTCTCTCTTATAAAACTAGCAGACTATCCCTTAGTCAGTGAGAATGGTGTCTGATGCTCGTCAGTCATACACTCAGTGTTGATTTTGTGTTGCTTCAGAATTTCAAAAAAGCCCAGGTTTCTAAAAACTCTTGAGTTGATAGAAAGCTACGATACCTAATAAGGACTGCATATAATACTTAAGCACTCTGTAGAAGTTTGTTAATGTTTTTGCATAGCAGAAGTACGCTTGCTGACCAGTAAGCTTATTTAGGAAGAGCAGCACTTCGTGTTCTTCACTTATGACCCAGTTACAGCCCTGGATAAATGAGAAGTTGGGATTGCTGACATGCTGTGGTTTTACAGGAATTTTGAGTTAGAACATATTCTGCACTTCAAGGAGAGTAATGCTGGAACTTGAAAATGATTTGTCAAAGTAGGAAGATACCCTGAAGTGCACCTGCCTTATATATTTCCATAGGAAGATTGCACAACGTACTTTAAATGTCTATCTTTGCAGTATTTTTGTTTTCCAGGAATTTCTGTGTGGGTGTTTCCTATTTGCTATCTCTTCATTTTTGTCTGTACATAGAGGCCAAGTGATATTTTGTGTATGGAAACTGAATGTTTTGTTCTTGGTTACCCTTAGAAATTGATTTATTTACAGTTATTTAAGTCCAGCACAAGCTGAGTGCTGAGGTGTAGACAGTGAGATACCCTGGGGTCCCTTCTGCTTTTCTCAGAGGGTAAGGCTGAGGAAGAGAAACAGGGCTTCAGGAAGATCTATGATAGCCCAAAAAGATGTATAATAACTTGTCTCTCAAATCTGGCAGCCACCAGCTGGGGCCCGGATGTGATGAGAAAGCAGGGAAAGTTCTTTGTGCTTGACCCAAGTCTGTTGCAGTGATACAGCTGAGACTTAGGAGGTTTAAAGATGAACTGTTGTGTTACTTCCCTATTGGATGTCTTCCAGTTCCCCCTTACAATATTTCTTATATGCTTTGATTTTAAGACTTGTTGTAGTGCACAGTTTGCCCTGGGTGTTTCCCTTATGTATATTGACCTTTTCCATTGATTCATCTTGGCAAAATCACTAAAAAATAGAGCACCACGTTAAAAGAAAAAAATGCTGCAACTATACTGGGCCAAAATTTGTGGGTTTGGTAGCAGAGACTGCAGGGGTGGGGGACATAGTCTGGGCTGCCCTTCAGGAATGCCCCAGACTCCAATGAGGGCACCCTTGGGGGACTGCAGCCACCCCAGGCCAAAGAGAGGGTCTCCTTGAGGGAATGGGACCAGGGAAGGAGGAGTCCAGGCTGGGACAGGAGAAATGAAGTGAAGCAGCAAGGAGCAGCTGAAGGATGAATGAGAAGCAAAGAGGAGCAGACAGAAACCATTGCACACACAACCTGAGGCCTCCTGTGCTGCCTGTCGCCTCGCCAAAGGCATTGGGCTGGGTCAGGCATGGCAGAAACAAGGGAAGGTAGGCTACTAAAGCGGGGGAGAAAAGGTGTTGGAGTCAAGTTGAGCCTTGGGAAGGGGAAGGAAGAGAGTTCCCCTCAGTCTCTGCTGAACTGCTTAGTCTCCTTTTTTTTTCCCCTTCAGCTTCAGAAACAGTAACTAGCAATGTGCTAACTGGCACTAAATACAGTAAAATTAAGTGAAATTCCATGAGTTGAGATTGTTTTGCCCACGATGTAGAGAGAACAGATTTTGGGGTTTCTTGTATTTCTTTTCCTATTTGAGTCTTTGGGGTTTACCTTTACAGCTTTGCTTTTGAACTTTGGAAGCCTAGAGACAAAATATATCCTTTAAAACAAACACGCAAAGAGCTGAAAGCTGGAATTTTTATGTGATGATGAGACTTTGGAGAGCTGGCTTTAGGAAAAATTCCTACTGCTGCAGGGGACACGATAAAATCACTGGAGTTGGCAAGGGCTGTGTAGCCTCTCCTTCCTCCCCTCGGCTCCTGCAGCCTTCCTGGCCTGTGTTGGTCGTCTCCTTCACCGTATCGATTTTTACAGTGTAATCTGCACTGAGCACGAGTTTTGTCTGTTATGCACTTGTAATGCAGCACATATGCATTACTATAGAAATAGCCTAATGCCGAGTGCCCGGGATTGCGAGCAATGAGCGGTTCGTAGCCAAAAAAGCATTTGGCCAAAAACCTGCGATTTTGTGCTCCCTCTGCTGGATCTGGAAGAGCAGGAAACCCTCCCAGCTGGAGCGCCACTGGCTCTCCTCCTTCCCCCATTCCCACCCTACAACTTCCAGTCTGTTCATCGGTCGGTGCTTGGGGGAAAGGGCTCAGTGATTCCCAGAGTCTGCTGGTGCAGCTGCACAACGGGCCGTGTACCAGGTGTGAATGTGGACAGGGGTGGAAATTGTGCGACATAAAAAGTAGTTGTGCTGCAGTAAGGCCATAGTTTCAGACCTGGAAAGGTGGCTGACGGCTGTAAGGGCTTTCTAGTTGGTGCCTCTTCCCTGCCCATCTATTCTCGTTTTCAGGTGTAGCTTGTTACCCGCAAACTTTGCCAGTGAGACTGTTTTGGGGATCTTCCTAGAAATAGGATGAGAGAAGGGATCGGGCTTTAATAAGAAGCTACTTTTATTTTTAGAAGCTGATTGCAGTTCCCAGGAGGACCCTGTGGAGTGTGCTGGCAGAGCTGTGGCTGGCATGGGGGCACAGGAGCAGGCTGGAGTGGGGAGGTGGGGGGGACATGCTACAGCCCCTGAGCAGGTTGTGTGGGGAAACCAGGGAGCAGATGCTGGTGGGGACAGTGCCAGTGTCCTTAGAATCAGCTTGGACCTGATTTGTGAAGGGGGTGGGTGGTCTGTGATGTGAATTCACAGAAATGTTAATGGATAACCCTTTCATTTTAAGAGATGCTTTATAAAACAAAGTAGGAATTGTGGTGCCAGTTTTACAGATGGGCAGAATAAAGCACAGAGGAGGGGGGCAAAGCTTTGGCTTCGTGTGCTGCAGCAGTGCAGTTTAAGCTGGTTTAAGCAGCCTCTGTTCCTACCCTCTACCATCATGGCTGATCACTCCTGCCCTGTGCCTGCTCCCTGTGTTGTGTTGGCACAGCTGTTTATGAGACAACATGCTGAAGGAAATTAGTTCCTCCAGTCCAGCTAACCATGCAGCTGCACAAATGCAGTGTTGGAAGCAAGAGTCCAGGAGAGAGGAGTGAGAAGTAAAGTTTTAAGCATCCAAGTAAAAGCTATAGACCGGTTTACCAAAGCCCCATCCAGTTACACCTGGAATAGTACCCAGCTCTTGAGGCAGGCAGAAAAAAAGTTTATCCTTTGGAGGAACAAACTAAAATAACTAATTCCAACTTCATTAAAGACCAGTCTGCATTAGCTGAGAAAGTCATGTTAGCACATACTAAATCTGAATCAATTAACATGTTTTTCCTGGCTTGTATAAGCAGAACAAAAGCACTGGGGAAAACTTCTAGATGAGAATAAATCCACGTTCTGGGCGAAAACATTCACAGTTCAATGAGGCCTTAAAAGCGAATCATTCACCCGGGGTACCTGTCAATATGTAACTTCTGTAAAATTGCCTTTTGTTGTGAGACAAGAAAACCAGCAGAGTTCCTGTCTGAAGCAGACAGTCCCTTGGTGACACTGTATGTGATGGGGTGGGATGGCTGTTTCTGACTTAGGGTTTTCAGTCGTGTTTTTATTCTTTGTGAATTATCATTGAACAAAATAAATATGACTGCAGAACACACACTGAATATGACTAACAAGCTATTTGTAATAACTTGAGGTTTTTCTTCTGCACTTTCTAAAGTCACCTGTGACTTCTGCATCATATGAGTTGTTATGAAAGTGTCTGCTCCTGTAGGTGGTCCTTGGGGAGGAACCTGAACTGGCTGCAAATTGTGTGCCTTTTTTTTTTTTTTCCAAAGTAGGGGTTGCTTTTTCATGTTTAATGGAAAATTCTTTCGCATGGAGGTTATTTGGAAGTTAGTCAAAAGAGAGGCAAAATGTAGTCATTGTGTTACTTTTATCAATATTTGCTGAGTTTTGGAGCCTGGTTAGTATAAGCCTGTAAGGACACCTTGTCTGCCTGCTGAAACAGCATGTAACAAAATATATACTGCCTGTAAACATTCCCCTGTCTCCCTTTGCAGTCTTTCTTTATAATTAAAAAGCATTTCCTAGAAGTCGCAGTGCTGTGCCAGTGTAATCCATAAACTTGCTTTGTTTTGTTACAGACAGGACGGTGGTTTTGAGGTATTTTGGTGTATTTTCTTAAGCAAAGTTTGGGGGTTGGTTTATTTTTTTTAATGGCACTTAGCTCACAAGACTCGGAGAGTACCCTTTATAAGGAGGATAAAAGAGACTTCAGCATAACCTTTAACTGAAACAAAATTTAGCATTTGGCCCAGGAAATTTTGTTATAAACCTCAACAGAATTCTTATTATCTTTTTCTCATTTCATTGTTACAGGCATGAAAACCTGTAATACTTAAACTCCTGGGCCAAATCTCAAAAGCTTGGGGGTGGCAGAGCTGGGCTGGAACCCCAACCCAGTCTTAGATCTGGTCTTCCAGGCTTGGTCCTGGGACTCCTAAATGCTCTTTATTCATTTCAGGTCTGTTCACTGAGCTACTTCAAATGTTGCCATGTTATGCAGGAGAACAGAAGCATGATGTGTCTGTATTTTTATTGCAGGAAAATGGATCTTGTTATGTGAGGGCGTTGAGGAAACAGTCCCCAGCTACCGAGAGGAAGAAAGGCCAGTAGGAAATATTCAGGTAGGAAAGCTGTGTGTACCATCAGGGGGGTGAAAACACTTGTGGGGCTTCAGTCTTTTTACAGATGCTGTGTCGTGTTTTATGCTGAATGGCTGATCTGGTCACTATCAGAGTTTATTTGTTGTTTTAAGAAGAAGCCCTGTTTGGTCAATTGATTGCAACAACAAAACACTGCAAGCAAAGCCCTCAGCATAAACATTCCTTGGGCTATCCCTGGTACAGTATTGATCCTGATACAGAATACAAACAAATTACTCCTTGCATGAGCCATTCGAGCTATAAAACAGAGCAGTAATATGTTCTACTTGCTGCCAATAAATGTGTATTTATAATAAACAAAGCAGAAATCTCTGAGTAGAAATGAACAGTAGTTTCAATAATGCATTCAATATCTTATGTCCAGCTGTTGTACAGAATTGAAAAAAAAGCAGAGTGGCCACTTTAGGATTTCTGTTTCCTCCCTCATTAAGAAAAATAATCTTTGCAGACTTGTTCTGTTGCTGCTTTTCATTTGCTTTTAGGTTTTTATTTTTAATATTTTAAGTATTTTATAAAGCCATAGGTAAGCTCATCTTTGCCTTATTTCCAGTGAAATTCATTGCTTCTCAAGAATTTGGCCTACATCGAATTTTCTTGTGGACCAGCTGCCTCTCCTTACACTGCTATGTGGGTCATCTCTACTTTCACTCCTTGTCACATCCCTGTGGCATTTCCTTATATTGGGAAGTAGCATTAAAGACACTTTGGTGTATCAGTAGTTGTTTTGAATGCAGCTGGAGTAAGGGAGGCTGTCTGTACCCTGTGACCATCAGCACTGAGGGTGCATGGACGATAACTGAACCCATTTCCGAAATGAAAAAAATTAATGATCATCAGAACATAGATTTTTATTTTTTTTAAATCTGCTTTATCATGCTCATATAAGTCTCCTCATCCATATTTTCAGTGCTGCACTTTGATGAGTTACAGACAGTTGACCTCCAGGCATTTCTTGATGAACATTTCTGTCTGCTCTCAGCCTTGAAAAACTCAACCTTTTCAAGAGCTGTATGGGAGAAAAATGTGTAAGACTAATATTTATAGGCTGAAAGAGATGGGAGAGGAAAGACTAAAGTGTAAAACTTGCTTCCAGCAGAAATGCCATCCCTCTTTTACCTCTGATAATTAGAAGCATTTCTGACATGGCTGCAAAGCAAGTTAGTGGTGTGTGCCTGCCGTTTGCTGTGCATTTGTACTGCAGGACTGTTTTCCTTCGTGTATGGTGATGCTTTCTTCTATTTTGTTTTCAGACAATCACAAATTTCATCTTATTCTCTCGTATTACATTATGATTCATCCATGCTCTTACATTTTAAACAATCACTTCCAAGTACTTACACATGATTGTTTGTAAAAATACGAGGTTGTGATTCTAGTTCGCGTTTTGAGTATTTTATTTTTTCATAATGTTTAACAGCTTATTTGCATAAATCCTTTCATTAATAATTCTAACTGAAATAATCCTGGAAGACTAAAAGAAAGAGAGGTTTTAAGTTCCATAATTTTATATATAAAATCTTGGTTATAATAAGAAATACTGCAGTACTGATTTTAACTCTAATAGTAGATTTATGGGACATTGCAAATAGTTTTTAGAGATGCCTTAGAAAGTATATGGTATTTATGTCCCCTGAATATAGGTCTATTGTGCTGGTCTTAGATAATAAGAAAATAATATGTGCAGGCATAGAAATGCAGCAAATAATTAACAAAAAGAAAACTCAACACCAAACCACACCACATCAAGAAATACACTGTTTTTAAAACTGTGTTCTTGAAAATTTCCTGGACATTTCCCAAGACTTGAATCCTGGTTTTCAAAAATAAAATAAAAATCACCTTTTTGATCTGTGAGGAAACTTGGGAAAGAAGTCCCTTGCTGTGCCTTTGGGTCATGTGGCCTCACTGCTGTAGAGCTGGAATGTTTGCCATGGTATTTCCGGAGGCTTCATAAACACACAGAAAGAACAGTGGAAGTTAGGAGGATTTTAAAAAAAATTATTATATTCTCCCTCCCCCTTTTTTTTTTGCAGGCTAAGTTCATTGCACTTTAAATGTGGGGTTTTTTTAGGAGTTCAGAAGAGTTTTTATTTGATCAGTCCAGTGAACTTTAAAAATTAATCTGTTTCTTAAAGAACAAAGTTAAATATTTAACAATTTTTTAATTGCTGATTTTGTCTAGAATTAGTTCTTACTAAATGTAACACCTGGCAACCTACATACTGAGCCTAACTCTGTTGTTTAGACGGTCTTCATGGTTTACTTTTGGCATGTGTCATTGTTAGTGGCGTTCAGGAATCTGACTTGATAGGTGTCATCTTGCACGCTAGAGTAATGCAAACAGAAGATGGGCACTCAGAGGAGGTCACAGTGAAGAGCTATTTCCTAAGTCCTGTTGTGGTGTCATAGAATCCCAAAGTCAAATCAGAAAAGCACAGAATTAGTTATGACTCCTGGGATATGAGGGTTAAGATTATGCAAACCTCTTCTTTCTAGCTGTAGGAATAGCATGTACTCCTTTTTAGGCTTTGCAAACACCAGCCCAAACTGGGATTATGAGGACCTTGGTGTGCCTGTAATGCCATGGATATGTTATGTCTTAGTGGCAAGGTGGGCTGAAGGGACCCTCCAGTCCCTTTTACACCCTGGGTTGCCAGAGGTGCATCTTACCCTTCTCCCTTCCCCTTTCAGCCTAGCTGCCTGTTGAGCAAGGGCAGAGAACTGATCTGTTTTAAAAATAACCTGGCAAAAATGGAGAGGGAGGGGGAGGATGAATGGAATATTTTTAGGTTAACCAGCTCCATTCTCTACACAGTACCATAAAGCTGTCCTAGCACTACTGGGGGGATAGGGAGATGGCAGAGCAACAGGAGCTGGTAACAAGTGGCCAGAGATAGGAACTACTTGTTCCAGATTGCCTCTGTGAGAAATCACCCCAGCAATGTGGCTGTGTATTCCATGAGGCTGCTCAGGACATGGTCAGTGGGAGGTAAATAACCATCTCAAAATGGGATTGTTGCTGAATCAGACTGTTTATTGCATCAGAAGTTACAAGAAGGCAGCATACCTTGTCTTAGAGCTTTCCTTTTAGTATGAAACAGTAGATTTCCCCCTCGCCATTCCCCCCTTCCCACATTCAGGCTCTGAATGGGCACACTGAGTTGGAGCCTTCGTAGATCTGGAATTGAGCAAGGGCTTGGGTTCTGCATTATTGTCAGGTCTTCTTTGCTTATCCTTCCTGTCCAATTCCAAACATTTTGAATGCTATCTTTAAGTGTGACTAGTTATTTAATGATATTCTCCTAGTGTGGAAGCGTATGAAGTGTAGAATCATTTACTTTAATAAAGGTCTATGTTTTGTTACAGTCAATTATGTAATGTCTGATTGCCACAGTTGTCATATTGTCTGACTTCTGTGGGTACCCCGCATACCTGTGTGGACACAGCAACACAAATGTTGGATAATAGAAGAAGGGAAAGAAGGAAGAGGAGCAAAATCATTCAGTTGAATAGCTGTCGAGGTGTTTATGGTAGGGAAGAGTACGACAAAGGCACGGCAGGAAGAAAGGGTGGAGGTTTGAGGAAGGGAAGTTGTCCCTCTGTTTTGCTGACAAAAATAGATATAAGAAAATATGGACATCTTACAGTCTAAAAGAAGATGGGAAGAACTGGTTGAGGTGGTTGTAGTGATAATTTTGGAAGTGCTTCCATGCTGTAGGGGCAGACATGTACAGCAATTGCCATCTAGGCCACTGATGCTTGGGTCACTTCTGTTCGCATTTCTGCAATTTCAAATCTGTAAAGCTGAGCTCAGACACACTTGGAATATGAAGGTAGCCAGCTGAAGTGGTAGCATTCCCACTGTTTTCTGGATGCTCTGCTTCATTCATGTCAGTACTCGGTGGCAGGGGAATGGGGCATGGAAACTTCATTTGTTCCCCACTGCTCACCTGGTGATTATTGGTAGAAAACTCTTGGATCCTGTGACATAAATGACATTCTATGATCACTGGTCAGTCTTTTGCATTGGTCTGGCCTAGAGCAGTGGTACCTACTGGCCTGTAGCTAGAGCAGTTGATTGAGAGGGAATGGGATGAAGTTGAGAAGTTGTCCTGAAACTATTGGACTGTAGTATGTGGGGAAAAACACAGTTTCAAAGATCAGCCTAAATATAAATGCCCTGCAATTTTTTTAAGTTATCTTTTGTAAAAGTAAGCCATGACCCAAAGGTAAACTGTGTTTTAAGCTGAGCATTATCTGCTTGTATATGTGAGGAGTTTTTTCCAGGTGAACACACAGATGTGT